TAAATGCACCTTGAAAATGGGCTAAAAGAGTTCATTTTGTTTAGGAAACACAAATACGAAAGGAAATAAAACACTCGTCAGTTGGACGGAAAAAGGAGCGCTTCACAATGCTATGAAAATTAGATAATCCCGGAATCATTACGAGAACCAGTACAAATATTGCAACAAGAGATAATATCAACGAATATTCTGTTAAAATCGAATGGAACAGTGATCTGTTGCGAAATAACCAAATTTTCGATACAGAAACGATGTTGTATGCTAAAAGAAATCCACCATCGAAGTTCTTCACTATCATCAACGCTACTTTCGCCGATTGAATGAGTTCGGCGCATTGACGGTACTATAGACGAAAAAGCAGGAAAACTGTTCACCGAGTAATGGCGATGGAATCGTAAATCGATGTTGAATGAGTCAAATGAGTGAATGAGTAAATGTTTAAAGTTTCCTGAAAATAACAATTTCACATTTAGAATTCCATCTGAAAAATATCAGAATGATTCGTCAGCGGTGAAAAAGTATCAGAAATGAAAGCATATTGAATGAATATTGAGAAATCAAATAGTTTCACTTATATATGTTTTATATGAAGGGGGAAAACTTTGAAAATGAACAATTTTTAGTTCAATTGTTGAAATTATCGATCACAATAATACATCAGATCGTTTAGCATCAGCCCTCCAAAAAATATCTGCGAAAACAGAAAATTTTTTGAAACCAACGAATCTAAGAACTCACTGTGATTTCATACCGCTATTCGCAAATATTCTAAGCATGAATTGAGCCTCTGTATTCGGTTCAAATGTTGACGGAATAATCACATAATCGCCTGGTGGAACACGGCATCGAAGCGTCACCTGAATTAATTGCCATTATTTCAGTTGAACCATTCAGTTGAGTGAAATATTGCTAAGGCGGAAATAAAAGCTATGGGAGCATGGAAAGGTGTGCGATAAATCGATGAAATCCTCTTCAGAAGATAGGAATATTAGTGATATGTCGAGTTTCCCGTTTACGGAGGAAAGTTTGCTGGGAACCGAATGGTGTACCAATATCATTAATGTTGTGAACCTGAGCTAGGCTATTATCCGGCTTGTATCTATTATCTAATTATCTGCTATTAATCGTAATGTCGAGTGATTGAGCATCAATTAAATTAATACATCGATAAGTAGATTTAGAAGATACGAGTATGTTCAAAGATTTCTCGATGATCGAACGAATAGATCAAACACAGTAAATCGAATAAATCAATGCCGTGATAACCTGCCTCTCTCATGTGGGTGAAAGAAGCCGTTTGAGCACACGGTTTGTGCGAACTGAAAAATTTTTTATCGAGACGTCCACTGGTTCCATCAGCCTGAAATTGCATGACATTCATACGATGCTTAGTTCAACAGCGCACAACTGAAATAAAAATGTTCTGTATATTGACACAACTTTCCGAGAAACAAAATTCGAAAAGGATTCAATCAAAACCAACATCATAAATACGGAATCCAATAGAAACTTTCTCGATTCCGGCATGTTTCAACTCACGACGATACTTCTGCATCAACGCTACAATCACCGTACACAAATGATCATCATCTTTCGGATCCAGGTCACTCAAATGAATCAGATACTGTGGATTATTCTGGAAAGTATCTGAAAAGTGAACCAAATGAAATCC